GATATTTTCTATCAAATGAAACTAATCAAATTGTTAAATAAATTTAAGAGTTTGTTTCTTACGGATGAGAGTATTTTTCTAACGAATGACAAATTAACGAAAAGAAATATTGTCTTGGCTCTTTACAAAAAAAAAAAAAAAAAGGAAAAAAAAAAAACCCACGTACTTACGCTAGGAACGACGAATAATATAGTGGTCGTCGTCGGGACGGAAGTTTAATTTGACTTATGAAACCCTAGAAAAGAAAAGATATCATTAAGGGTTACTACCCTTCTGGTCTCCGAGCTGCGCCAATCTTCCGTGCCTTCTTCTTTCGTAATTGGACTTAGGTTCGCAAGAAAAAAATAATTGATGATAGCTCAGGAGACCAAAATCCCCCACGATTAATCTTATAATTTGTCAAGCTTCTCTTTCTCTCTCTCTCACTCTCTCTCTCTCTCTCTCACTCTCTCTTTTCGCACACTCTCCCGCGTTCTTTCTACTCCCGACTGGCAACCGTCGATTCGATCTGTTTCACGTGTCGCTCGATTGCACACCGAACATGGTACCTTTTATAAATCATTAAAATCGATACTTCATCATCGATAAAGGACGTAACAAACGATACGTCTTTGAAGAAAAATCGCCATCGTCGGCCCGAACGCCCCGTTAATTTTACTTTATACGGTTAGCCACGTGAAAAAAAAATGCTTATACGTTATTTTTTTCTTTTTTCTTTTTCTTTTTTTTTTTCTTCAATAAATATAAATTATCATCGTCTAATAATATAAATCCACGTTTCTTTTTCTCTTATTTATTTATTTATTTATTTCTTTTCTTTTCGATGTATGCAAAGCAAATAAAAAAAAACGAAAGAAAATAAGAGATCTGTTTTGAAAGCTTTTCTCAATATGTAAATTTCAAGGGAGTTTAGGAAATATAGACACATCTATACATAAAGAGAGAGAGAGAGAGAGAAAGATACGTCTGCGTATGTGTATACGTATATGTATTTGCGTTCGAGTGTAGTTATCTGCAGACGCTTGGCAGTGCTTACACTATCGTACCGATTTATCCTGAGCAAGAGTAATCCCCTAGTCCCCGGCGGTAATCATGTTTGCTATTTTGATGTTCATACATAAACAAACATAAGTTGATGTGGTAGGTTGGATAGGTAGAGTACCAAGATTTACCACATATTCTCTAGCGTGTTGAATGTATATGTGCCGCTTGTCGCGTATTGTCCTATCTATACATACGTATATGCATATGCATGTATATGCATTTCTAGATGAATAACGTTTCGGGGTAAACAAATTAAAAAAGGAGTAAGCATATATAAACCTATACACGTGGAATATATACGAACGAGATGTTTTACTGGTGGCTGTTATTACTGTTACTATTAAACAACGTTTCGTCGTGAAATTTATAGGATTTATTTCTAGAAACAATAATTATCGTTATACCAGTTAAATATGCACGCGATTTAACTAAAAACTTTCTATTTAATTCTTTTTTACAAAAAAACTTACACACATATATATATATATAACATAATATATCCGATATATTCTTTATTCAAACATATTCAACGTTACAAAGTTGACAAAACTAAAAAACAAAAGCTATATGTTTTTCCACAGCAAATATTCTTGTTGGGAAAATGTCGAGAAAAAGGTACCGTGCTCCCCCGTCAATAGGATAGAAATCGTCGTAGGAACAAACTTCGAATACGTTTCTCGAACATATATAACCCCTCGTAGTCGAGATTTACGAAGGTACTTTCGGTCCGCGAACACATGTCCGTCCGAATTCCACGTGTCCTTATTCCTTATATACATGTGTTATGTATAATCTATTTCGTTTCTCACTTCCCAACGACATTATTCGCAATTTTAACGGACGAACGAACGAACGAAGATCGACGATAGTCATTCGGTGGTTCATTGCTTTCTTTCCAAATTCTCTATCTTTTTCTTTTTTACTTTTTCCTTCTTATTTTCTCTTAAGATCACGAACATGTGAACTGAATTTCGATCGAAAGGACGTTTATTACAATCATTATTTATGTAGGTAGATATATCTCTAGAGTATCCTATGTAGATATCCTTTCCTAATATATATATATATATGTATTTATATTCTATGTGAGAACTCACCTATATACATACATATATATATATATATACGTATATGTATATCTACATATGTATATGTATATCTACATACGTAGATATTCCTCTCTCTCTGGTAGGACGACACAAGCATTATGCATATCTATATGCGATGCATCCAGCTAAACGTTCGTTTCATCCGATTGCCCATAATTCCAGCAATAGTGACAATCTGTGTTATCTCCATTAGCATAACTTTCGTAGCTATTAGCGCGATTGTCAGGAACGTTCTCGATGTTTTCGTTAGCCCATCAGGAATTCCCTATACGATCCTTTCTTCCGTATTATTAATGATCGTAACGTTCATCCCCCTGCTAAATGTTATGCGCGTTTACGTTACACACGCACATATATATATATTTCATTTGATTGAAGATGAAAAAGGATCAGACACGCAAAAATATATAATGTATGTACTATATATTCTAAAAGAAAAAATATGGAAGTCTGGAAAGTTTTCGAATATTCCAACGTGTCAGTTGCCTTAGTTCTTCGAAGAAAGAGAAAGAGAGGAAGACACAAGGGTGGCAGGTGACGCCCTTTTAGCACCTTACTCTCTCTCTCTCTCTCTCTCTCTCTCTCTTTTTCTCTCTTACCAATAAGAAATATTTACGACTAGCACACCTGCTAACGCGTTATTACAGCCCCGTCGGACTTTCATGAAGGTGCGTCCGACATATTACGAGTATAACTTTGCACGACTTCTTCTCTCGTTTAACACGATTTCTCTCATCCATTATTTCTAAACTCATTCTATCTCTCTCTCTTTCACCTTTATTCAAATCTATTTCGAAATTCCAATCATAGTTGAAAATACAATGGATCATCCACGTCGACAAAAGTTTCTTCGAATTTATAACATTTTTTTAATTATTCGTATCGTCTGGATTATAATCGCGTTAAGAATCCCACGACATTCCGAAAGAAAGAATTCGTCGAGTCCATTTTTCCTTTCTTTTTTTTTTCTTTTTGGTTAATCGACCTCGCATATTTTCTCGCAATCAAATAAATTCGCATTCTTAAATGCATATTATCGAGTTTTTCGAACTATTTGTATGTTGGAAGAGAAAACGTATGGAATAAATTAGAAAATTACACATCTAAGAAACTTCGTTTAAATGTTCGAAGTTTCTGTCGTTCGCAAACTTAACTTAGAATATCTGAAATCTTCATCAACATGGAATAACAATAGAAGATCGTTTCCAAGATTGTGTCGCTTTTAATTGACCTTTTATAATATATCTTTCTCATAAATCAACTTTCATTTAACAAAATGAAAATAATCCAATGTTCATACTAATCGTATGTTACCGAATAACAAATGGAATTAATTTTCATTTTGTTATCGTTGACAAATTTAGCTTCGAACGTTTAATAATCATCGTTAAAGTATTCTATAAAAGTATTATCGAGTCGATTTATGATCGATCACATATCCTACTTTGTTCTGTTATAATAATAATCCAATTTTGTAATAAATCTTATATCACACAAAAGTATAAGTTGAATCGATTTCGTACAAATATTAGAAATTGTAATCGTTCGAAAATCCAATTAAAAATAATTTAAATGTTCGTTTTGAAATGAAAAATAATCGAATCGTTAAAGGTTTTACACGGCGTTATAAAAAAGGAAAAAGTTCCAGTCGGATTCATACAAATCAAGCTGGGAATGTCTAATGTCTCTATCGAAACGGGATAGTAAATAATGATCATTCGATCGAGTAGCTCATAATCGGTTTCGTGCATTCCGTTCGCGAAGATTTATCGTATATCGAAGATCGAGAACCGTCTTGATTGTTGCCTTACGAGAATTAGACAGCGTAGCAATGTCAAAGGATGATATTCTCGTCAACGATACGATCGTAAACGTTTATTGCTAACACTGGATGTTTCCGATTGTACGCACCTAGAAGGACCATCGTTGATTATACGAGGGACACATACTCAATCGATAATTCACGAACGTGCCGAACGATTAATTATTGCCATGCACGATACATATATACGGTCGTTAATCGACGATGAGGATTTTGTTAAATAATGGGATCGTCGTGGCTGCCTGCAACCGGAGATAGGAATTTATCTTATTATCTGCGAGAACAGAAATGTTATTTCATTATTATTTATATATGTAGGAAATAGCGATACTTTAATCTACAAATTTTATCGATATTCAATATATTTCGACTTTTTTTTTTATTATTTCACTCTTATATTAAACTCTGAATATTTTCGATATAATTAAATTATTAATATGTTAACTTAATTAGAAACTACCTATTGGTAAATATACGTGAAATTGCACGCTAGAACGCAAAATTCTGAATAGATTAATAAATTGTAACGCGCGAGTTTATTTATGAACGTTTTTTTTCTTTTTTTTTTTTTTTTAATAAGATTATAACAAACGAATAATTGATTTATTCTTTGATCGCGCTAAAGAGACAAATCTTCGTGACTACTTAATTTCTAAAAGACTAATGAAATTTCACGAGGATGATCAAATATAAACGAACGAATCTGAGAGTCCAGCAGGTTGTGGGTGGTATACACTACTTATTCCAAAATCGTAAAGTATGAATATAAGTATGTACAGGATCAGAAGATTATCTTTTATTATGGTTCACGTTTGACGTTATCACTTGAACAAATTAGACGAAAAGCAGTATCGAGAAATCGTTGGTACGAGACGATCACCTTATTGGGTAGATTTCGAGGATAGTTGAACGAGGTTTCGCGGAAGGCCATGAACAAAGGAATTTAATAGAAGATAGAATTTACCGAGGAGAGGTCCGTGGCAATTGCATTCAGACTCTCTACGCGAGTATGCATGTAGGTACGTACGTATGTATGTATGTATGCGCACGTATATACGTTTTAGCTCTCACAGTGCTTTTGAGTGCAGCTACGAATTGAGGCAGCTTGTTAGTCGCACGTGTTGCGTTCGAACGAATAAAATTGATTCCATGAGAGGCCGGTCCGAAGTTTCTCGACCTCGTTTGCGAGTTATTTAGGTTCACTCGTAAGCTGTAGTTAGGCGTGTTTCTTTAAGAAAAAGAACAAAGAAAGAAAGAAAGAAAAAATCAAAGTAACTCATCCTAAAAACATATTCTACAAAGATAAGTAATATGATTATTACGATTCGACGATTCTTAATCTAAGATTAATGTCTGACGTATTATAACAATACGAGAAGTGTTTTTACCGTGTTAGAAAAGTTAACGTTGTCGGTGAAAGGAATGAAAAGGAAAGGGGAAATTCTCCGCATCTACGAATCGCCGAAAACGTGTACATGAATAATTCAAGGCGTGGCAAAATCTACCGAGACATTTTCCGATCTAATTTCGGTAAAGGGGATATGACGAATGGAAGAGATTTCTGTTAACGGCGCCAACATTTCGCTGTAGCTTTGCCCGTTAGCCTCGAATGAAGACATATTTCCCGTAACACGACTCGGCTACTAATGTTCCTTGAGTTTGTTAAATATAACCAACCACGTTACTCCTACTTGGCATCGCCGTCGAGAGAATTATGCCGGTACGCCTTGTTATACATTGTAAGCACATAAATCAACGTTATTATGCGCCGTTAGCTCTCTCTCTCTCTCTCTCTCCCCCCCTCTCTTCCTCTCTCTCTTACTCTATACACACCGAGCCGCGAATTTCTGTTTTCTATAACACCAAGCAAACGTTTACCGTACGTATTGTTTCGCAAATCGTTAACTCGTTTAGATAGGTTTCTCGGTTTATGTTCGTTTAAAACTTTTCAAACGATATGAGAATAAGATGGAGAACGTAGAACGACCAACCCCCATGTATTTTGGTGACGAACGTAGAGAATAAATTGAACATTCCTTTTAAAATAATATACGCACATACTACATACGTCGATATTTTATAACGATAATGGATTTCATAGCGCGTAAACTAATTTTATCGGGAATATAACGATGTAACCATTACCCAAAAGCTATTAATCAATTAGTGTATCAGAGAGAGAGAGAAAGAGGGCAGAAGAAGGGTAGTAATAGTAGTGATGTGGTAGTGGTGAGCATAACAGGCACCTGCAATAATTCCGACGATTAACGTTACAATGACTCACCCGACAGGCACGTACGACGTATCGCGCGAGCATTCTAGTTACGCTATAATCGATGTAACAATTTCCTTTCTCTCTCTCTCTCTCTCTCCCTCTCTGTGTGTGTATGTGTGTGTCCCTCTCGCACGCTTAGCACGAAACTCGCTTGTTCGTGCACAATCTCGATTCATCCCCGCAGAGTAATTAAACGGGAAACGGAGGCGTTTATGCAATAATTAAATCAAAAATACGCTCGTGTTCAATTATCGTTTAAAACGATGATAATACTTTTCTATTTCCCTGGGAAACTATCATCATCCTTTGCGACTTTATTATCTCATCAAAATTTATATCAAACTTTAAGAATGATACTTTAAAAAACAATTTTTTTCTTCCAAAAAGAAAATGCAATATATACAATATTTAAATATTTATTTTATTTCCAAGTAGAGAAACAAATTTTATATATAAAATACGTATTTGTGTGGCAGGCGGGTGGTGGGTTCTTTCTCGCGAAAAGAACAAAATTTTTGTTATGAAATATCAACGATGACCGTAACAGTAGAAGCTCATATTCGCCCACCGAATGGTAGGAGAGTTCTCGAGAGGTTAAGAGGTTAAGTTAAAAGAAGAGGGTGAGTGAGAAGAGAAGGGAGGGGGGTTGGGAAAAGGACTCGAGAAAAAGGGGATGAAAATCGTGAAGTGCTGGCAAGGGGATGAGAAGGAGAGAACGGTAGAGTGGATCGCATTGCGATGCAGATTGCAGGATGCTGCGGAGTTGGTACGAGAGAAAGAGAGAGGAGACAGGAAAACGTATAACGAAGGAGGAAGGAGTGAAAAAGAGAGAAAGAGGGAGAGAGAACAGATCGGTGGTCCAGGATGGTCGCTTGTGTTCGAGGTTATCAGGCACCATTATGCTCGTGGTACTGTGCACCCCTTTCGCGGCCCAACGGTGGTGGTATCGCATCGTGAAACTACCCTCTCTGTCTCTTTTCTATTCCCCCACCAAGCTAACAAAATTCGCGTTGGTAAAGACAATGTTTATACAGGGTGAATCGTCTTACCATTTAAAACATTTATATAAAATACAAACTAACTTTAGGAATTTATTCGTTTAAACTAAATTCATTTCAAATTGAATCGGATATTGTTCGTTTTACATTTTCTTGATATTTCCGTTGGTTATCGAGAGTTGAATTTGTAACAAATCCCATATCACACCCTGTGCATTTCGATACATTTACGTATGCAAAGAGAAGAAGAGAGAGAGAGAGTGGAGTTTGAGTTTATAGTGCGTATATGTAATTAACAGTGGGAAAGAGTTGCATTCCTGTAATTTACCGACACCATAATTACACCTCTTGGGTGTACTTTTAATTATTCCCTATGTTCATACCCCCTGTAACCCCCCGTCCCCTTAATCCCAGATAGTTGAGTACAAAGCGTATGTTTCTACACGTGTTTTTCGCTAATGCACTATCACGAACACGTATTTTCTTCTTCTCCAACAAAAATCCCCTTTGTCGTTTCTTTCTTCTATGTTCTTTTTTTATTCGATTTAAAAGGAATCCAAAATCACGGATTTATTTAAATGGTATGGATATAGAGATTTAAAGGATACATTTTTTCGATACTCAATTGCGTGAATCGTTGCATTCTCAAGAAAAGAAAGAGAAAAAAAAAAGAACAAACAGGGAACCCGTCCAGCTTTAATTTCGTTGGTCGTCTACAAATTACAGGAAAATTCTATTAAGCTCGACGTTTGCTGCTTCAGAAGCTAACATTGTTCTCGTTATCGTCGGTACTTTAAGTACACGTTGAGGTACATTACACGAGGTGGAGCTTAGAGGGCTGCTTATCTGAAATTAACTACGGTTAATAAACTTCGGTAAAGAAAATACACATATAATAAATGGAATGAAGAAGAAACAAGAAGGAAAGAAAAGTATAGGAGGAATAATTTTTATTCTTTCTTTTTTTTTTTTTTGTTTTTTATTATTATCTTCATTATCCTAGTTATGGTATATTAAACGATATTACGTATCTCGTGATAAAAGGTAAATTCGATATAAACGAATGGGAGGATAATAATTTAGTTATTTTCATTCGTATTCCATTTCGTCGAATATTACTGCGACAAGTAATATGAACAAGTAAAGTTTGTAGGTATTCATCGTTTATGGTATTTATTAAATCGTGAAGCTAGAGAAGTGTCTTTGTGAAATTCTATCTGGATTTAAAAGGACCAGGTGGAAAAGACTTTTCACCTCACGGTATTACCACCGCTTTGGCGAACCAGAAACATAAGCTGCATTAGTAACATAAGAAGGAACGCGTTAAAGAGAAGTAGAGATAGATAGATAGATAGAGAGAGAGAGAGAGAGAGAGAGAGAGGGAGAGAGAGCAGATGAATGTGCACAGGTATATTCTCGAAGCTCGAACCATGCTTCAGTTCCAGTACACGTAATAGGATTATATACAATAATTCGAGGAACTTCGATTTTAGACTGAGTTATCCGTAAGTTCTACGCCGACCGGGTTCTATCGGCTTAATTCCTGGATCCAGCTGCGCTCGAAATTCTATATCTACTATTACGATTTTAGCCTATTCGTGAACATTTAACTCTGATATACTAAAGTTTTATGAACAAGTGTTACGAATGAAATTCCATCGATACTCTTTCCAATAATACTCGAAATAACGATCTTAATAATCTCTATTTTCAATTTTCTTCATAACATAATTATCATTGCAAATTGTTCAAACTTTAGATTCGTAATTATTCGTATAAGTATATCACGCTCGAAGAAATGCTATAGTTTGTATTTCGATAACAATGTTACTTACGAGTACCATTTATCAGTAAGAAACTTTTTGAAGTCCTTATGATAGGCAATCCATTCATACATATATGTAAATGTATGCTGCCTGCTGTTAACTGAAAGGGCTGAGGAAAAAAAAAATATGTTCCTACTGACAAATGATGCTCGCATGTATTGTTATCAACGACGTACGGAATGATGCATAATATTTTCAGCCATGATACTTACTCGATATTCTCATAAATAATCATCAAAACGAGATAATGACGAATATAAAAGCAACTAAATAACAATTTGTAAATATAAGTAATGGGATCTTTTTTAAATAGGATTTTCTTCAACACTTTGTCCATTCTCTTTCCTCATCTTCTTCTTCTTCTTCTTCTTTTTCTCCTATAGTGATTTGAAACTTTAGAAAAGTAGCGTACAAATACATATATGGATACTACATATACATTTCGTCCGAAGAGAAAAGTATAACAACTCGTGTCGTAGGGGACAAAATCGGAAAAGATAGAAAACATACGAGCCGTTTCGTGTAAAAGTTTTTCCGGGAGATAAGGGAGAGAAGAAGCGTAACGGGACGATCATTCAACGAAATAACGATATCCTGCCTGGAGGACAAGTTTCGACAAAATCGAAGGAAATACGGTAAGATGCATGCTTTCTCTTTCTCTCTCTCTCACACACACACACACTTTTTCTTCTCTCTCTCTCTCTCTCTTACGTTTTGGTTCTGCGCGGAAGGCAGGAAGTCACCTCCATTACCGAAAAGCGGGCTGCGAGGAATTCCGGAGAATCCAAGTTGAAACGGTCGAGGGATGGTGGGAGTTGAACGCGGAGGGTGAAGAGGCAAGAGGGAAGCAAGAGGGTGGCAAGAGGGAGACTGAGGAGGAGGAGGAAGAGCGAACCGCATCCGGCGGACTCCCCAAAGAGATATAAGATGGCGATTTATGTTCGCAGTTTGCGAACGTGGCTCGGGAGAAACATTATTTACCGGAGCCAAGCGAGAGATGGGCAGTCAGAAATTTTCAGCGGTTGAAAGAACGAACGAAAAAATTCCTGAACCGGCGATGCTGGCGGTAGCGGCCGCTCGGCTGGGGTTGTTGGTTGGCTGTCTCGTCGATGTATTGTATTCTCTACTTTTTCACACTTATACAAAAAATATAATAATAATGAAGGAAATGTGATAGGATGAGAAAAAAGAAACATATATATAAGAGATGAAAAGTGAAATAATCATGACAATGATCTTCTTTTTCTCCTCCTTGGTTGAGGGGTCAAAAAAGTACACTTTGTTTTATTACATCTACGAGAGCTAATTAATAAAAACGTGGAAAAAATGAATTGGGACAATAGTTTTTGATTAAAGTTATTCTAATAATCTTTTTGTTCTCTCCTTTTCTTTTTTTTTCTCTATTTCGAATCGATGAAACAAATTGAATGATATTATCGACCAATAAGCGGACACACGGTAAGTCTAATTAGTAGATCGATGAATAAACGCACGGGGATAAAGGGAAACGTGGAAAGTGCAAATGGTCTTTCTCTCTCTCTCTCTTTCTCCCATACTCGCGCTCTGATGGGAAACCGGGATGCTCGGAATCGCGAGAAAGCGAACTACCGTTTCTGGGCGTAACTTCTGGCGGGCAGAAGCGACGGCGGTTGCTGCCGGGCGACCGCATGCATAAATTCACACGTGCCCGGAGACACGCATATTTGCATACGCAAACGCACGCACGCATCTGCGGGCCGCGTAATCGTATACGTGACCGGCTACAAATGCAACGGACCGTTCTCTCGAACGTATCTTCAACAATGATACGAGTAATATGTTTCGAGCTTTGCCAAGCACCAATGCTATTCCTATTTTCTACTCTATCCATCCATCTATCTATCCATCTATCTATCTATCTATCTATCTCTACCCGTCTATATCGAGTTATTCATCTATTTCTCTGTTTCACTCATTGAACAGCTTTAATAACGTGAATTAATTTCATATCCGTAATAATAATCAAACATACCTCCGGCCGCGACTATTTCATTAAAATTAAATACACAGGCAGATAGGCAGGGGGGTAGAGAGGCAAGCATGGAGGCAGGCACATGCGTCAAAGCTTTGCAAAGATCAATCGATCACAAGTTATGGCGTGTCGAGCCGGGCCCCCCCCCCTAACTCGAGAAATGAAATACAATTCTTCTCGCGTATTTCAGAGAAGCGAAAAGTTTTTTAATTAAGGCGCGCTATATATTGGCCAACGAACGAAATCATCAGGACGGACTCTCGCCCCATCGTTTCTCGCGTAATCGCATTAGAACCGTTAACGAATCGTTAAGAGGTAGTATCAGCGAATCGTTAATAATATCGGAAGGCACTATGATGATCAAATTAATAACGAAAATACCGGATCGAGACTGGATCGAGATCGGTTCGAGACCAGATACGAGTCGAATATTGATAAGCGGATTACGTTAACGAGAAATAAAGGATATTCGATTGGCTGAGGATGAAGAGAAAAAGAAAGAGAATGAAAGAGGAAAAATTATGGGAGAGAGAGAGAGAGAGAGAGAGAATATCGACACTAATTAAGTCGTCCTCGAAGACTCGAGCAAATGACCCCGGGGATATTTATCAGGCTCTCGCCATTCGCCAAGGGTAAAACATCCACCATCTTATACTTCTTCTTTTCCACGCTATATCATCTTTCGCACCCTCCTTCAAAGTTCATTACCGATTCTTAGGTTGGTCTCAACATCAACGTACTTTCTTTTTCAAGGAAACAGAAAAAGTAGAGGAAAAACAAAAAGAGGACGCGATAGACAAAAAGAAGAAGAAGAAGAAGAAGAAGAAGAAGAAGAAGAAGAAGAAGAAGAAGAAGAAGTAGTAGAAGAAGTAGTAGTAGTAGTAGTAGTAGTAATAGTAGAAGAAGTAGTAGAAGTAGAAAGAAGAAACAAAGTCGAGATAAGGAAGAGGAGGAAAAGATTGTAGCATACATAGAGTGAGGGCAAAGTGCGAGGAAGATACAAAATGAGGTCTGAACTATGAAGTAGAATTAACCTTCCCCACCACCGGTATCACCAACACCTCTGGATCCTCGTGTCGAGATATTGGAAAAGCCATTAAGACTTGCCACTTTATTGCGGGCAGCTACTTTAAAAGCTAGTACCAGAGACAGAGGCCACTCTGTGTCCTCTCGTACACTTCTCTCTCGACCCCCCTCACCCCCCATCTTCTTTCTCGTTTTCTGTTTACGACACTAACAGCTGTTTGCGAAAAAAACATTGGCCCTCGAAAAAGAAAGTCTTCTTCTTTTATTCTCTCTCTCTCTCAATATCTTTGAGATGACCATTTCAATGAACACTTTAAAGAAAAAGAAAAATTCATTGCTCGTCGTTATTTGAGTGAACAACAATAGCTGCAACATAATATTTTATTCAGAGAATTATAACAGAAGATCTAGAGATTGCATGCCTAATGCATGGATAATAACGTAATGATGGGGAAAATTGTGATTTAATTATACCCACCCCGTAATCTGAAGGTTGTTCGCGGTTAAGTTAACGAGGGTCGCAGAAAATTCTTAAAGCTTTCAACCGGAAAAAGGCAATTATTATTTTCATGTAACATCCTCATACACGTGTATATTTATATATAAATGCATACGTGTACATGTACGTATCTTAATATCTGTGTATGTAATACGTGTGAAGAGAAATAGATAGATAGAGAAAGAGAAAGAGAGATAGAACGTACAAAAGGGAGAAATTTCGCAGAAGTTTCTCAACGGACCAGAGTCGATGTACTAACGGACCGTTAACTTTCGACGTTTCTCATTTCCTCACACGTACGCATATACATATACATATATATATGTACACGCGCTTGCACATACATACAAAAACATATTCGTGTATTACGACGACGATGGTGAATTTCAATGACAATAGGCAAGTAATTTTGAATCGCGTACGATAAGAGAAGAAGGTGGAGGAGACCTTGAAAGGGATAGTTAAAGAGAGAGAGAGAGAGAGAGAGAAAGAGAGAATATGAAGAGGAAGCGAAGCATTCATAGAGAGAGGAGAGGATGCACATTCGTGGTGAATCGCGCGAAACCTCCGATAAATTATCGGATCGCTGCGACACGGTGGTTTGCCGACGTAGGCGATATAATAAAAAAGGGGAACTCTCTCTCTCTTTCTCTCTCTCTCTCTCTCTTTCTCTGGCTTGGGGATATAAAATATTTTTCTATCTCCTCGTGTGTATATATGGGTGCGAACGTGAAAAAGGGCTCTATGAGAACGGTGAAGAAGAAGAAAAAAAGAGAGAGAGAGAGAGAAACGGTGTGGTAAAATGGAATAGAATGATCTGAGAGTCGTAAATCGAGAAGCCGGTAGAACAGGAAGGATATGAAGGGGGGTGGGGGGTGGAAGAAGGGGGGTTTAGTTGCGGCCTTTCCATTTCGTGACTGCTGCGTTTACGACGACATTCTCTTTCTATCTATCTATCTGTCTGTCTGTCCATTCGTCTGCCTACCTATCTCTATCTCTATCTCTATCTCTATCTCTATCTCTCGTTAATTCTCGCACTCCTCTCATTCGCCTGCTCATCTTTTCACAGAAGGGTGAAAATGAGAAAGAGAAAGATGGGAACAGGTTTTAGAACATTCGAAGAGAGAGTGTGTGCGGGCATTAAGTGAGAGAGTGCTTCTTCCTTCCGTGGAAAAGCTCGTAACAATAGTCACCGAGAGAGCGCGAGCGTAGGATTAAAAACGATTCGCCGATTAAATGCCTCGAGAGCTTTTGCTCCTTCCTTCCTTCCTTCCTTCCTTCATTCCTTCTTTCTTTCCTTCCTTCGGCTTTCGTGAGTAGCCCAAGTCCGTGTGGTACGTTGCCTTTATTATACGCACACAAACACACCGATACTTTTCAATATTACCATTCTCCTGTGACCTTTCATCATTTCCCCCCTCCCTTTACCTAGTAGACGAGCCTTCTTTTTCATTTCTTTTTTTTTCTTCTTCTTCTTCTCTATTTTCCTTTTTTTTTTTTGTTTTTTACAAAAAAGAAATTTTATCGATCGTGTTCTTACTATCTCTATCTCGTTCTATCGCGTAATTCTAGTAGTTTTAGTCAAGATCGTATTAATTTAGTCTAGCGTTAACTTTTATCGATTATTATTTTTCTCCTAACGTGGCCCACGTCATTAACAAGACAAGTAGATATCTAATCTAAAATCAATATCGTTCACAAAGCCAAGTTATTTAGTTACCGTTCAGAACACATCCCGATTTTTATCTAACACGAATCTCTATCTGTTGTCTATCTATCTCTCTTTTGCGATTGATCTCATTATTTTATATGTGTCTAAAAATATTTCCAGAAATAACTAATACATATTTAAATAACGACGAGAATATAGTATGGATGCCAGGAAAATCCCTTCCCTTTGTTTTTTTCCGTCGTCTTATCATCGGAAAGGAGAGACTCTTGGTGGATCACAGTGACTTTGATTTATTAGAAAAATAACCGGTTACGCCAAGCAAGCCTTTCCTTCAACGTCTACCTCTACTCCTACTCTTAATCCTTCTCCTTCCTTTTTTTTCTTTTTTATCTTTGTCGTTCTTTTCTTCCCTTGGCCTATATAAAAGAGGCTTTGAAAGTGTTCTACTAACAATAAGAGAACTTCACCGATATTATCTCTCTCTCTCTCTCTCTCCTTTTTTTCTTTCCTTTCCCTGTAACTAAACGTTTTTCGTTCTCTCTCTGTCTCTTGCTCGATCTTTCATCGTCGTCCTTAAAAACATCGAAATTTGTCCTCTTCTCGAAAATATCAATCTCTCTTGGCCCACGTCAAGTATATTCTTCTTTACGAATGCTATAGATAATGATAAAATGAATTAAAATATTATCTGCAATAATAATAATAATATAATAGATTATTAATAATTTCTTTTTGTGTGTGTGTGTGTGTGTACACATTTACACTCCGTGAATTTTATAAAAGTTTCAAAAAAGCAATGTGCTAAACATGTAAATAAATTTATAATGAATTTAGCACAGCCATTCGCCCGGTAGTACTTGCGTTACATAGTTTTCAAATTAGATTTGAATAGATCGCAAGCAATACCGACCCAGGTCTCACCGCGAGAAGGTTGCTGTGGTCGGAGACCCTCAAAAATTTAACGCGAAAAACGAGTCGCAAATTTTGCTTTTTCTTTTTTTTTTTTTAATCATCCAACTTATTATTATTCAAGAAGTCATGGGAAAATACGAAAGAAAGAAAGAAAGCGTGCGACGACAAATTTACCTGCTTCCCGTTGGCTATTTTTTATTTTCCGTTAATTTTATCCCCCTTTCCACACT